CTTTTTCGAGAAAAAAATTTTTGTCCGGATTTAAGTGGCGGACCCTGTATAATATGCATGTGGTTAGGATACACACTTTTTGCAAATTTTGAAGAAAAATACAAACAAATACTTACCCACTTTATCCCACAAAAGCAGATATCCATTCTCCGTAACTGCTATCTTATTCTGATCTTTAATAATCAGATATCTCGCTAACTCAATTTCGATGTCAGACGACATTTTACTTCCCGCCAAACAATTACCTTCTTTTCCCTATGTAGCGAGGAAGGGAAAAATAGGCACTCTCAAAGTAGGTCAAATGTGTTTTCGAACGCAACAATCGAGAGTTCACGGAGAGTTCTCAAAGTGTTTTCGAACGATCCTCGGAAGATTAAAGGCACTCGAGGAATGTTTTCGAACGCAGTCCTGAAGCTCACCGTTACGGTGCAGACAATATAGTAGCCTCTTTCTCCAGCTGCTTTGTACGCATGCGGTGAACATTCAAGCACGCTTGCGCATTTCTCTTTCTCGCGTTCTTTCTCTCACTTTCTAATGCTTTGTCTCGCTCGCACTCACTTGGTAGATGTGCCTGCGCATAATGACGCTCGACCATCTATGCCCATATTTGGACTTCGTGCGTCTCCCTTTCTCGGGCNTCGTGCCTCTCATTGCGAAGATACGCGACTAGCAATATAGGAGTATTACATATATGAGAAATCAGCGCTTACGAGTGCAGTCCAAGGCAAAAGATAACAACGAAAAATAAAGAATGACTGCGTATTAGCAATTGCTAAGCACTGATTTCTGCTGAACAAAGTCATTCTTTACTTTTCATTGTTCTTTTGTCTTAGACTGTACTCGTATAAATTCAATCAGCGACGACGAGACAAAGACAGAGATCCTAGTTGTGATCATAGAGGTATAATATATAGACTGCGCGTTCCCTCACTCATATATATAATACTTCTATATTGCTAGTCGCGTATCTTCGCAATGAGAGGCACGAGGCCCGAGAAAGAGAGACGCACGAAGTCCAAATATGGGCATAGATAGTAGAGCGTCATTATGCGCAGGCGCGTCTACTAAGCGAGTGCGAGCAAGACAAAGCATTGGAAAGTGAGAGAACGCGAGAAAAAAAATGCCCAAGCGTGCTTGAATGTTCACCGCATGCGCACAAAGTGGACCTTGCGCGAGAGAGAGGCTACTATATTGTCTGCACCGTAACATTTGAGCTTCAGGTCGGCACCGTACTAGCAATATAGAAGTATTACATATATGCCCTACCTTTGCCATGTTAAGAAAATGTCTTCAACGTTGAGAGAGACAGCTGGTGTTGAACAGTGGCCTCATCTTTGTCTAGCGAAGTAATGGGGGATAAAGAAGTCTTCGCTGATTGATAGAATAGTAGTGGAAAAGTGGGGATAGAAAAATAGTGGGGGTGAAGAAGAGTGAAAGAGATTAAGGTAGTTATTGAGATTTTCAGTCTATTTACAATCTTATTCATATTTGGAATATACATTTTTAAGTAAGCAATCTATCATATTGTTCAATCTCAAAAAGCTCAGCCGTACCAAAAAAAAGATATAAGGCTTTGAAGTTCA